CTGTGAGCTACATTCAAGAGAGAGTTTCCCTTGTGATGTCATAGAGTGATGACATCAATGCTGATGTCATTGATGCCATAGAACTGAACATTCTATTGTAGCCTGAAGTAAAAACATTTTTCTAGACAATGTCAAACATTGAGAAGTTTTAATTTTTGTTATCAAACATTATGAAGCCAAAGAAAAAACTAAAAACTCAGAAATATACAGGGCCATCCTTGAGAATCAACTCAAACCCAGTTTCACACAAATACAAGGACGCTAGCATAAATGTTTAGCTTTTGACACAAATACACACAGTTGCATACAGAAATACACAGCAAAAGAGAAAAAAACACGAGTGCAGTATTCAGAGGACTGAAAGAGGCCGAAATTCACCACATAAAGCCTTTTAAACCACATAAAGCCTTTTAAACCACACTCAGGGAAAGAGTGAAAAGAATCAATTGCACAAAAAAAAATTATGCAGACATTTGAATTAGTAAACAGGTTTGGTAGAAAGGAAGCAGAGCTAAAATATTGCTTTTCAAAGTAATATTTAAAAATGTTTTCAATTTTTAACAACAAAACAAATTGCTTTGTTTTTAAACAAATTTAAAAACAAAATGTGGAGGTTCTGAATGCTGACAGTGTTTTCTTCAGGGAAAGGCCTATTCCACTCCACAGGGTTGTTCATTTTTCACTATAAACTTCATCGTAAAAGAGGTGAATAGGTTTTAAGTTACCAGCACTCCAGGTACGGCTTCAGTCTTTCTACTTTGGTTTTTCCTAATAAATAAAGGCTATTAAAAAAATAAATAAAGAAAAAGTGAGATGAAAGGAATTATAGGTGATGGAGTTTTGTTTTTATTTTTATTGTTAATCACTTCAGTACAAGTCAGAATCTATCTGTTGTAGCTCTACTTCTGATTACCCCATGGGTGGTTTTCTAATTCTACACTATTTTCAACGTCTGCCACGCTCCTTCGACTAGATAGATATATAGATGTGCACACACACATTTAAAATTTTGCCCCCCCAGAGGTAGTCCTGGCCCTGCCTTGAGCCCCGCAACTTTAAAAGTCTAGCTCCGCCACTGCTCTTGATTCAGTATACGTCACGCCCCAACCGGCCTGGATCCTCTGTTTTGCTTTTACAAAGCCGTTATGGAAAGAACGCCACACTTTTCTCCATGA